GTGAAGGGAAACTGGAAACTAGTTTGTCATAGGAGAGGAATGGATGGGGTTCTTAATTGGGTTTATTCGACCCGTTTAATTGAGCACTTGAAGGCCCGGGTTTACGTTTACTCGGTTCCCTTTCATGATTTATTTTTGAGAGTTTGCTTTTTGCTGAATGGTCATTCATGGGAATAATAGTGCACCAACAGTCAATGAAAGGTATTTTGTGTATTTGATGAAGATATATGACCAATTCATATTGAATTTTGTAACGTTACATTGAATGTTATTTGTTGAAAGTATGTGGCTGCTAGCATAGTTTGGCTTTTCTTTTACCTTTTTCTTTTCTCTAAATTGATGGGCTATGGAACAGTGGAAAGATATTTTATGTTATTTGTGTGTGTCAAACTTGTCTTCTCTGGCCCAACGTTGGCCCCCACGCATATGCTTGAAACAATTGCTAGTTTTTCTAGGGGTGGGCAAAAAAATCGATTTTTCCGATCTCGAATCAGACCGAAATGGTCCCGTTCCGAAAAATAGGGTTTCAATCGGGTTTTAAAATTTTGGTCCCATTCCCGGTACCGAACGGTTGAAACAATGTCGGTATCGATTTTTAATATTTTTTTCCCGAACCGTCCCGTTTGTCCCGTTTCATTAATTTGTAAAAAATATTATATATATTTATATACTATACACTATTATTATATTTTATATTGGTATTATAATACTAATTATATTTGGCATTCAGGGAATCAAACTTCATTAGGCATTCTGAATTCAGAATTTGCAATATTAAAAGCCCAGACCAAAAGACAAACAATTTGGCCCAAAAAATTAACTAGACAATTGGCCCAAATGTGAGATTACTTACGGGACTTTACTGAAGAGTATTGAGCAAGCTGCCAAGCTTACTTTTTACATTTCAGAATTCAGATTCACAATCACAAATGATTTCACATTCTTAATTACCAAATTCCCAAATCGGCAAACCCCTATCGCGGCATCGCCATTTTTTAACTTCAGTTACCAAATTCACAATTTGTTCTAAAACTCCAAATCCAAAATCCCTAATCAGAAAATCAAGAACCCTAATTTCCAAATACCATGGACAAAAGTAAATCTTGTGTCGCATCTCCGTAAATTCATGTGATTGGAAGGTATGAGAATTAAAACTCCACCAGCACCAAGCAGTCTTCAAATCCCGTGCATCGGTGAACCTGCAAATATAATGTTATTGTGATGATTGAAATTAGGGTGTTTTCATTTTGAGCTTTGGAGTATGTTTCATGTTTGTGATGATTGTAATGGAATTAGTGGAATCAGACAATTCATACTCTTTGTTAGCTTGTTTAAAAAGACAATGTTTATGTTAGATATGTTGTTTAAGTGAATCAGTATGTCATTTGTTTAAGTGGACTTTGGAGTTTGCAGTATGTTTCTTTTTGTTTAAATATAAATACAAGCAGTACTTAATAGAATCAGACTACCAGTATTACTGTGGTTTAAGTGAACCTTGGAGTATGTTGTTTTAATGGATATTACAGAGCAATATTCAGTACTCTTTAGTCTTTGGTTTAAGTGAATGACAGTATGTTTTGAACTTTTTATGGTATTAGTATGTTCATTGTTTGTTTTAATGGAATTGTTACCCTTTGGTTGAGTTTTTTTTTTGTTCCGTTTTGTACCCGTCCCGAACCGTTTGGTCCCGATCCCGAACGATACTGGTCCGTTTGGGACAGTGTCTCATCCCGGACCGGTTCATGAAAGCGGGACAAGTCAAATTCCAGACCGTCCCGGACCGTGCCCACCCCTAAGTTTTTCTTGGTTGCTAGATTTTGTGAATAAAAAAATTGCCCGTCTCAAATTTCAGTTGATGCCTTCATTTGATTATGGAATGTACGGAAAGTAATGATAGTTGGAATGGTTTGAAGATATTTTCCACCATTTTACCTTTGCGGCTTTTCAATTTTACCTCTTTTATTATAATTTTGTTTATAAAACTCATGTTTCAGTAAGATAGCGAAACGCTGTAAAGGTTACTTTTGAATAACAATGTAGAGAAAATTTGGTAGGTGGTGAAAAAAAAAAATGGTACATAAATCTATTTTCTATAATAAGAATCTACATGTTAGGCAAAAATCCAAAATTAGTCAACTATGTTGGTCATTTTTCGAAATAGGTCCATCATATAGGGCATCATCAAGAATGGTCCACTAATCAAAATTCATACAATAACCAACATAGTGTATTAAAATTGATTGCTTTTAGTTGCATTTTTTACTACCCTCTGTGGCTATTGTACGAGTCTTGATAAAATTCACAGTTAAAGGGACAATTCTTGATGACACCCTATATGATGAACCTTTTTTCTATAATGACCAATATAGTGTACTAAAATGAAATTTATCCATGCAGGTTACTTTTGAGCAACATCGTAGAGAAAATTTGGTAGATGGTGAAAAATAATGTACAGAAGTCTATGTTCTATTATAACAATATAGAAGAAATTACTCCTCCAACGACCCTGCAACCTTTTTTGTTACAATCTCACCGATGTAACCTTTAGCAAATATGCCAAATCTTACAAATTTATTTGCAAACACACGAGACATTCTATTAGGCAACAAAAATATATTATCATTAATTAACTTTGATTTATTGGAAGTAGTTACCAAATAAATAAAGCTGACTCCAGTTTTCAAGCCTTAATTCTCCACAACTAACCCACGTCTCAATCTCACTTCGTCAACTCAACTTCCTTCTTCGTTTTCCCATTTTTTTTTCGAATTGATGTGAAACTCCATAAAAATGGCCAAAAAATCGATGGAGAGGAGAAGGAATCGCGGTGGCGGTGACGCTAACATTCGTGGCGATAGTGGCGCTAACATACGCGGCAGCCGCGGCGGCGGGGAGGAAGGTTTGGCGACCTTCCGACGCGTCTGCATGATCGAGAAGTGGATGGAGAAGAAATCAAGCAAGAAGATCGCTGTCTGGAGGGTATCTTCCCCCGATTTGTAGATGAAGAAGCCCCGTAGATCGAGTCGGACACTGATGCGGTGACTTTTTCTTTTTTTGATCCCTGCGGTTGTTTTTAAAAGAAACAACAATGGACTCCGGCGGCTGTGCGTCCCTCCGATCCTCCTTCCCAGCGGGGAGGTCAAGTTGGAGACAATTAAGGCGAGGCCCGAAGCTCGGGCTCGTGGAGATGTCGACAGTATATATTGTGTGTATAGACAATATATTTTCAATATACGTTTTCGTAAACGCAATCACATATATGTTTAGTTTATAAAACAGGTCAATACAAGGACTAGGTTTCCCATGTTCAGCACACAAGTATGGTTTTGTTGAGTATATAATGATTTGCTTTTTTACTAACATAGCAGGCTAAATTAACAAGGTATCTGTACAATTGTACACTCTGGCCACGTTTGGTTTTCTGGATAGGATTAGGTTAATTTAATTGAAAGATGCAAGATTGTACTGTTTAGATTAGAACGATTCTATGTTTGTTTGTCAAGACTAACAATGAGATAGATTTAGAGATAAATTTAATTCTGCATTTGTTAGGTATGACTAGACATGTGATACAATTATAAATTTACATTTTTACCCTTATATTCATTTTTCCAATAACTAGTGTGTACCCCGTGCGATGCACATGAACAATATTAAATTTACAATATTATAAATAGACCTCGAGTTTGAGTCACTCAATGGCGGAAGTGGAAATTTACTATTGATCCTATTTAAAAAGAGAAAGAAAAAAAAAATAATTATAAATTAAAGAGGAGGATAAACAATACTTAATAATTATAAATTAAAGATTCGGGGTCAAACAATGTAAAAATATTTTGTATAAGAGAATATGAAATTTACATTATTTTGTATAAGAGAATATAAAATTTGTATGTCTAATATTAAAAACACCTAAAATATTATATTAATATATGTAAAAGTATTCAAAATTTTCTATATTATTTTTGAAAGATGTGAAGCCACCTACAACTTTTCTAAACAATTTTAGAAGGAAAACATATCTAAAAATATTTTAATTTAACATTGTGTAAAAAAAGATTTTTCTAGACTATTTTGTAAAGAAATCATGTATACAAATATTTAAATTTAACATCAATTATGTGTATGTGTATATGTGTATATATATATATAGACGAATATGTAAAAAAAATGTCTAAAAAATTTGTTTAAAACATCTAAAATATTATAAGCATAATTTAAAAAAGACATTATGTCAGATGATACCAAATTTATGGCGTTACTTCCATCTAAAAAATTGATTACACACTATTATTATTATACTTTTTACGTTATTGTTAGCTTATAATATTTGTAAAATATTAGTAATTAGACCGATGAAAATTAACTTTACAAAATAGATAATGATTTCTATTAGTAATTATGAATTGTTTTTTATTTTATTTTATTTTTTTAAATCTTTATAGATAAGAGATGAGATTTTCTAAACTCGTGAGACGTATGCAATGAGATGTTGTAACAGATAGGAGATAAACTCTAGATTTATGCTATGAGATTTTAAAACGCGATTTTCAATACCAAAAAATAGGAAAAAGAAAAACAGTTTTAAACTCGTGAGACGTATGCAATGAGATTTTGTAACAGATAAGAGATAAACTCTAAATTTATGTTATGAGATTTTATAACGCGATTTTCAATACCAAAAAATAGGAAAAAGGAAAACAGATTCTAACACAATTAATTGGCCGATTTTATTGCCTTATCAATATTGTCCAACAATTACTATATATAGGATACATTTAATGTATTTGGCGAGAAAACATTTCTAAAATTATAAAAAGGTTATTCTTTTTATATAATGATAGATTGTAGTATGCAGTGAATAATTTTTATAAAATTTGATTTTACCGTAGACCTACAATAAGGTCCTTTTTTTATTTTTTATTTTTAGGAATGAAAGGAAGTGAAAATTCTTGAATATATTGACAACGGATGGTGTGATTTGCTCGTAATGGATGACATTCTAAAATATGTTTCCCGACTTTGAGTTTTTCTTATTTTCCCAGTAATCTGTTTAAGAGAAAGCTTCAATTAACAAAGAACAAATCCCAACTATGAACTTAGGTCTATAACAAAGATTATACACATTTTTATATAGCAAGCAAGACCTTAATTTAACAAAACATGAAAGCCAAAAAAAATCAACAAAATCAGAAAGAATGTGTACATCTGCTAATATGGCATTAGATTCAATTGTTTCCCATTAACATTCAACTAATTAATTCCTAATTCTCATTTCACAACCTCAAGAAATCCTCAAGAACTGAACGAAAACTAACTTCATAAGCCTCCATATTTAATCAATAGTCCACTTGTACTTGGTTCAATCAGAAAAAATCCCCATATCATGAAACAAAATTTGCCCTAAATCCCAAATTCATCAATTGCCCTAAGTCTGCCATAATTCATCAATTGACAACCTTCTCGCACACCTCAGACTCTCAACAATTTCGCATCACGAAACCCTATCAAGAACTCCGCCACCTGGTACATGGTGGTGGCGCTCACGACGCCGGCCAAGACGCTCCTCCTCAGCCTGTTCGCGTCCACCACCATGCTCACCAGCTCATCCAACTTCTCGGCCAATGCATCCCCCACCAAGCTCATTCAACCTCCAACTAGGGTTCATGATTTCTGGTCGTCGACTGGAAATGAGGTTGCGCCGGCCAGTGGAGGCTTCAGGTGGATGTTGAATTTGGAGACCTTAAACGAGATACCCGTAACTTCGAAGAATTCTTACTCAACATTTTGATCTTCCAGATTTAATTTGGAGACATGGGCACAAAGATATTTATTTACAGGTAGAAAGGAAAGAAAAGTATGGAGAATTTGTGAGAGAAAACTCTGTTTTCAAATTTCAATTGCCTTTTTCATGATTTATTTTTGAGAGTATATAATGTTGTGCTTTTTTACTAACATAGCAGGTTAAGTTAACAAGGTGTCTGTACAATTGTACGCTCTATGTTTATGTTTAGTACATAATGTATTGTTGGGTTTAAGGTGTCTGTACAATTGTACACTCTATGTTTATGTTTAGTACATAATGTATTGTTGGGTTTTACTAAATTACACATGTCTGTAAAATTACCTCTTATAATGTGTGTTTATGTTGATTATATAATGCGTTATTTTTTTTTTTAATAACATGAAAAATCACTATAATGGTCTATAGTATGCTTATACTGAGTATATAATATTTAAGGATTAATGTGCTCACGAAGTTTCATACTTACCCTTTAACTTTCGCGATAATTTGACTTTATGTATAGTATATGTGTTCTTTGTACTTGATCACAGAAAAAATGTATGGCAATAAACCTGTGCTCAACGGATGATAAAGGTTTAGAGTTGAACACTTACGGCTTAAAAATTACAGAACCTGAGATGTTGTAGATTTTTGTTGATGGAGATCGGTTGATTTTCCACTCGCCGGAAAATGGCCTCGTTTGAAAGTCTCGGGGTGGTCGCGCATACGTGCGGGTCACCTGGTCACCGGCGGGAGCTCGTGAGGTGATCGCGGGTCGCTGTTGCGTGCGGTGATCACCAGTCCTGAGGTTGATCGCTCACAGGGAAGGCCTGGTCATGCGCGGTGGCTCGCGGACAGTCTCTAGGGTCTCACCTACCTTGGGGACTTCTGATGTATGACCCGACACCTATCTGGTTGTCTCGGTGGAGCAGCGAGTCTCGGAGTCGATTTCTTAGGAACTAGGGTGCCGAACTCGAGTGTTATGTGTGTGGTTGTGTGTCAAATCCAAGAGATACATGGTTATAGGGCTGCACAAGGTATCATAGTTCACTTTTGGCTTTATAAGTATTTGGCATAACTGTGGGTCAAGCCCACTCTACTCAATAACTTAAATAATGTTTCAGTCCAATAACAAAAAATTAGCGCGCTCCCTCATTATCCCCGAATTATATTCGAGACTCCAATAATAATTACCTGAATTAGCTCTCCACGTTTAAGATATAATGTTTATCAATTAATTTGATTATTGACAATCAAGAATTAATTGACATCTTATTATGTCGAAATTTAATCCACCTACAGAGTTTAACATAATAATCCTTCATGAGCTCACTTCGGGGACATCATCAAACGAATATACATACATGGTGACCGTAAATATTCTAACAGCACACCATACACGCAACACTACTACCCAAAACACGAAGAATATTGACCCAAAAGAATGGATCTCGCTTTCGGTGAATCAAAGTAGTAGCTACTGCGTGCATATGCCTGTTTATATCTTACCGGTTAAGAGAACGCAGTAATTAATCGATGTCTAGTTCGTTTACGACGATCAATAATATAAGACGAATTGCTTCTCTTTAAGATCCTATTCAATACATAAAATGTACTAGTGTATCTAATCAGTCAAGATCAACTGTACCGTTGACACTAATACCGCTCTGATGGTTTGTTCATTTCTATCTAGGTTGCAAGTGACTAATAAAATGATCTTCTGTCCATTTGTGATGAATCATTTTATCTAAATGCAAAACGACAGAACCTAAAACTTGTTTAACCAAACACGATTCTCATTCAACATAAATAATGTAAGTAACATCCAAAGCCAAGCTTTCAGTATATACACCAACAATCTCTCACTTATACGTAAAACTTTCTCTTTTACAAGTGTATGTCTATCAATCCGTGTTCTAAAGACCTATGTCGATCCTATCGCCATACATCTGACTCTCATTCCTTACATGTGTTTGATGAAGACATTCTCCGGCAAACCCTTAGTGAAATGATCAACTTGGTTTTCCTCTGATGTAATTTTGGCAACCTCGACGTCTCTTTTTCCTACAATTTCTCGTATCAAGTGATACTTGCGCTCTATGTGTTTACTTGCTTTGTGGGCTCGTGGTTCTCTTGAGTTTGCCACTGTATCACTGTTATCACAATAAACTGTGATACCTTGTGGCAAACTCGGGATCAAAAGCTAGACCCGAAAGCGGCCCGACTACATCTAAGGGCCAGTTCATTGAAGAACCGGTCTTTTTTAATAAAAAATAAAATAAAATAAAATAAAAACCCAAACGAGTCTTCCAGCCTGAAACCGGCCCTGTTTTACCACGTGTCTGGTTCCAAAACCCATAGGTCGGAGTCGGTTCTGTGTCGGTTCGGCGGGCAGAGCCGATCCTTGTCATCACTGTTCGCGAACATGCTCGTGTACGTTCAATTAATAAATGAGCCTAATTTTTTATTATAACTCGGTTTTATTAACCAACGAACGAGCTAGAACGAACTTTTGTTCGCGAACATTAGTTAGAACTTCAATCAAAACCAAGCTTCTCTCCATTTCCAGGTGCTTTATTTATCAATTTCAATTACGCTATGTATCCGCAGATCATTAGTGCATCGCGTGAACCAATCGTTATAATTTTAAATGGCATTTTAGGTCAAAAAGGGCTTAAACACTTGTGCAATGGCGCCTCCACCTGTACTGGCCCTCGCGCTGCCATCAGAAACGGGTCGGGTTCTAAGTATTCAGTCTCACACTGTTCAGGTCTCTCATTTTACTGTAACTTCTATTCCCGGATTTTCGTTTTAGTTTTTGATGTTTTCATTTCCCTCGAATCCAGTATAGATGTTAGAACTATTGATGGTTGAGTCACTTCTATTTGTGGCTACGAACTGTATCTTGATGAGTTTATCCATGCATTTAGTTGCTGCCCTATCATAAAGGATGTTGCTTTCCTGTTCCATTATGATAGAAATGACCATCATTTGAAGTAGCTCTGGTGATTTTGATTAGGCTGATCTTTGTGGGTTTTGTTATTGCAATTACATTAACTTAATTTTGCTCTCTGATGATATCATTATTTTGTTGCGTTGTACCTCACGAACTGCCAGGTATTGCGCTTGATATTGTGGCTTGTTGCTAAATTCTGTTTTATTTTAGGGATATGTGGGTAACAAATCAGCTGTCTTTCCTCTACAATTACTCGGCTATGATGTTGACCCGATTAATTCAGTACAGTTCTCAAACCATACAGGCAAGCTGTTTGTATCATTTACTGAAGTTAATACAGTCTGGCCTGAAAACATGTAGCGATGTTATCCACAAATCAGCATGTTCAGTATCCGTGAATCTTTATATTTTTGGGCTTGGTGCTTGAGAGGAAGATCTGTGTTTTTTGGTCTAACTATGACTTTAACTTATTTAGGGTATCCGACTTTTAAAGGCCAAGTTTTGAACGGAGACCAACTTTGGGATTTGATTGAGGGCCTAGAAGCAAATAACTTATCGTATTATACGCATCTACTTACAGGTAGATCATTAATTCTCTATAGTTGTGTAAATCAGCCTAGTGGTCCTTCAAATTCAAAGCTTCTTTGTTCTAAGAACATTAACGCATGCCAATGAAAATATTAACATTTGTAACTTGACATGTTCGTGTTTTGTGTTTGAAGCTTCATTTTGCTTTTGATATAGTAGGTACAAAATAAGCATCTGTTTCGATAACATTAACATCTATGATGCACTTTATTATATCTCTGGACATTGTAGGTTATATTGGTTCAGTCTCGTTTTTGAATACCGTTCTTAAAGTTATAGAGAAGCTAAGGGCTATCAACCCAGGACTTACATATGGTAAGAACACTTGTACCAGCTGATAATATGTTGGAATTCGCACGGTTGACTGGGCTCAGAAATTTTGACTCCCGACATTATGTTTAATGCTAAATAAGCTATAAGCATGATCTATGTTTCTGTAGAAATATGTACGTTTTTTAATTGACTTGCTCTTTCACTTTTGAGTTCCTCCAGCCTGACTCGGATAGTTGATCCTTGTGAAGTACTTGAAGTGGGTTTTCAAGCGACATTTTACCACTAACTGATTTATCTGAATGATTAATCTTTCTTCTATGTAGTTTTTCCTTTCTTCATATAGTTCTGAGTGATAATATCTTATAGTATGACCCTATTCTATCAATCACCTTATTTGGTAAATGAATATTTCTTGTCAGTTTGTGATCCAGTTTTAGGAGATGAAGGGAAACTTTATGTCCCTCAGGAAATGGTATCGGTATATCGGGAGAAGGTAATTTTCTGCTTGGAAATGGTATCGGTACATTGGATTCATATTGCTGATTGTAGTTATGGGATGCAGAAAATAAAAATTTGCATGATGTGGAAATGATAGGAGAATGAAGAGTAATTTGTGTTAATAATTCGATGACTGTTGTTTTTCAATATTTCTGTTCTGCTAATTGGTAAAGCAATTATATTACATTTATATCGAGATATTTTGCTTTCGGTATCTTCGTGTACAGTTTTGTTAAACTTTACTAAGAAGTCAATATTTTTCAAACAATCTAGAAATAAAATATTACCTCCCTTTGTTTTGGTTTAAACTAACATTGAAGTGAATTATTATCAGACCTATTCTGATTGCAAAATTGGGCATTGGTCCTTCTGAATAGGTTGTACCTGTTGCTTCTATGTTGACTCCTAATCAATTTGAAGCAGAATTGTTAACGGGGTCCAGGTATATGTCCATTTACCTGCCTTTTATTTATTCTCTCACAAAGTACATTTCATATTTATATTTGTAATAATTGATCATGGTTTTTGTATCAAACTTCCTACATGAAGGTGATTACTGAGAGTGTATTACTATTTAGTGGTAAAGGGATTTGGGGAGGTAACTAATAAGGGGAACAAAGCAAATCATGCTCCAATGAGAAACTAAGGCTATGTTTGGTAACCAAATAAGCTAGCTTATAGCTTATTTAGTTAGCTTATAAACTTCCTGTATTTAAATAAGTTTCGTTTGGTAGGACGGGTTTATTTAAAAAGCTCGAGCTTATCTCATATGCTTTTTTGGGTAGCTTTTGACATAAGCTCCGTGAAAATTTTTATTTCAGGTGAAAATTTTTATTTCAGCTAGCTTATCAGCTAATTTTACCAAACACTTTTATCATATAAGCTAGCTTTTCAGTTATAAGTCATAAGCTATAAGCTCGAAAATCACTTATCTGCTATCAGCTAATTTTATCAGCTGATAGCTAGCTTATCCACAAATTCTTCCCCTACTCACTGAACATTTTTACTTAACAGTTAAACTTTTACTACTAATATTATGTGGGTGGCCTGATGGACATTCGTTGCAGCTGAGCAACTATTTTCACTAATGTGGCTGTTTCCGTTTGTTTTCCTTAATTTACTACCACTTGATTGTCTTAAATTTGTTTCAGAATACTATCTGAACAAGATGGCAGGGAAGCTTGCAACATTCTTCATGCATCTGGACCATCAAAGGTTTGTGCCCGTGTTTACACGTTGAATAGCATTTTTCATGGGTTTAAAATTACTCTATCGATGACATCTCTTACTTTGAGAATTGGGAGGCCTTATGAGCGATCTATATCAGAACATGGCTTTGTTTCATTGATGCATGTATTACTAAAGTTACAATAAGTTCACCTGGTGTTTTATGTAATAGTAACTAAAATTACTAATCATACCATCCTAATAATAATAACTACTTTTATTGTTGTCATTATTATCACTTTCATTTCAGGTTGTCATAACGAGCATAAATATAGACGGAAATCTTCTCCTAATTGGAAGCCATAGAAAAGATAAGGTACATAAAAGCCAACTTTAATTGCTATTTCCGTTCTAAACATTGAGTCAATGGAGAATGATTTACCTTACTAATTGTCGGCTGGCACATTTAAATGACTTAACTCTTATTTGTGAGGTTGTACACATCTTCATGATCATATCTTTTGAATTGTTTTCTTTTTTAGCTTAGATATTGATACACGTGTTAATATTCTTATATGAACAACTTTGACTATGGCAGGGTCAACCTCCTGCGCAGTTCCGAATTTCAATTCCCAAAATTCCTGCATATTTCACGGTATGCAATTTTTTTCATTTCTGTGCCTCGAGTTGATTCTGTCTTAAAAGCAAGCATCCGAATTTCCATCACCCGACCTCCAAATAAAGTTATAAAATCTTCAAATGAAATGAAATAAAAGATGCAAAAGTTTACATACCTTACCCCCATGACACTTGTTGACTCATCTTTCATCTTTGGAATTTCTAATATGGAGTTTACGTTTGTCTACCAAAATTTGACAGATTCATTCGTTCATTCATGCTGCTAATTATTTTATCTGATTGGAATTCTGACAAATAGCAGCATTCAATGTTTCTTCTTTTTTATTTGTTTTATTTGATTTCTTTTTTTTTTTAGCAAATACTGGCTCAAAAGGTTAAAAAGAACTTAAAGCTAGAGAAGGTCGTGGATCTTGCTTTAGTTCCCACTTTCCCTTCGCAAAGCAACAATTGTCCGTATATTTACAACATTTTTACTGTTTGCAGGGAACAGGTGATCTTATGACTGCACTTTTGCTTGGATGGAGCAATGTAATGCTTAAAAATACTTAAATTTGGTCTTAAGCTTTTTTTTTTCTTCTTCTTTTCGTTCTATCGCCGGCCAATCCTTATTACATGTTTTTCTCTGCAGAAATATCCCAACAACCTTGGTAAAGCAGCAGAGCTATCTGTATCAAGCTTGCAGGTATATTCATCCATTGGTGATCCTCAGGGGGTAGCCAAAGAAGGATCACTGTGGGCCTAGGCCGACACTGAAAATAAATTACTATGAGCCCTATAACTTAAATTTTGGCCCATCCACTTAAAAAAAAAATGCAATGGACCTCTACAAATTATATTTCAGGCTTTCAGCTCAAATATTTAATCAAGTTAATTAAATAATAATAGAAAAAAAGCAATAAGTCGGCATGAATATGATTCATATGTTGGGAGTCATGTAATGAGTGCCGAAAAAGGGAGAAAGATGTGGGAAAATTAAGATGAGAAAAAGGGGAAAAACTAAAAGGATAAAAATTTTTAATTTTCGGTTCAATTGTTCGAAACAAAAAATTAAAATTGATTAAATTCTTTTTAGCATTCTTATAGTCAATGTTTCTTCTAGAACTCTAGTTTCTTTTTATTGCAACAAGTTTAACAAATTAACCAGATAAAAGCAGAATGAGAGTATAAAGAACCACCATAAAATTAAAGTCATAGTATGCTTATATATAAATTGAAATTTTAAATCTTTTTCAGGTGATTATAACTCTTTAATGGTTGATAGTCAAAAAATAGAGTATTTTATTGATTTATTTTTATACTTTTATAATATCATGTACGGAGAGATTTCTTAAAAAGTGCCCCGTTAACAAAGTTCTTGTGAAAATGTCTCGAATAGAGATCATTTGAATCCAAATAGATTTGAGGAGAACTCTAGTATTGGTTGGAAGAAAGAAAATGTGTTCGGAAGTTATGATCGAGGAGTTCCATTCTTCTCAACTTCCCTCTTATTCTGTATTGAGAAATTCAATCTGAAGGTACAATCAAATATTAGAGATCAAGTCCAAAGTGCAAACGAATGAGCGATGATTGGTTGAATGATGACTTTTTGTTTATGTAGAAAAATAAACATTCTTGAAAATTGATAATGATGTTATTGTAAAGCAATATCAAGCTATAAAAACCCATGAACAGTTATGAAGGTATGATTTCGAATTTGCACTTTTAATTATAATATATATATATGTATATTTTTATAAATAATTAGGCCCCCACTCGTAATTTTTATCTTATAAAGTGATTTTTTATTTTTTATTTTTTTAATGAAATTAGCTAATTGATTTTAATGGTATAGTCGAGCCCCTAAAAGTCGCAACAACAATAACAATAACACATCAACAATTTTGAGCCCTTGTTGTGTTTCTCTTACCATTGGTTCTCTTGGGTTTCATCTCTAGCCTACCCCAACTTGCTTGGGACTAAAAGGCTATGTTGTTGTTGTTGTTGTTGTTGTTGTTGTGTCACTAATTTATTATATTTTATGCAAATCAATATAATGATTCGTCATTCTTGTTAAATAGTTTATATTTATGCTATTCATTTATTAATGATAAAATTTTTAAAAAGTGATGTCCATTAAATTTATAATTTTAATATTATATATACATATAATTTATAATAATTTATTTACATCTATGCGTGTGTACATAATCAACCATTGGTTTGCCTATAATAACTCTTTATTTTCTATGAAATTGATGAGAATTATTGTTTATTACTAGAATAATTATTTTGGAAGGACTACACTATTAAAGCCATACAATTTGCACATATAATTGATAATACTTTATTTACATCTGTGCATGTGTACATGATTAGTTATTGGTTGCCTATAATAACTCTTTATTTTCTATGAAATTGATAAGAATTATTGGTTGGTACTAGAATAATTATTGGAAGGACTACAATATTAAAGCCATAAAATTTGCCGGGTTCTCTTTTCTTTCTAAACCATAACCTTTGCAAGTTTAGTTTGAATCAATGTTTGTGTTGTTGCAGGCACTTTTAGTCAGGACGGTGAATGACTACACTAAGGCAGGGCATGATTGCCGGTCGAGCAGTTTAGAGATTCGTTTGATTCAGAGTCAAGATGTTATTAGAAAACCTGAAATCAAATACAAGGCTGAGATTTACAACTAGACTCTCATAAACCAACCCCCTTCAATAGAATAGCTTTTTTCCGGTGGAGTTGATTCTATCTTGTATCAAGAATTTTCATCTTTCCTTTCTTGCTCTTTTCCGGTATTTTTGTAATGGACATAATCGAGCTCTTGTAATGCCGTAATGCAAAATCTGTGCAACAATGTTGAGAAACCTGTATTTAATCCATGTCTCCTGGAGTATATAACATGCCTTAACTTCATTTTCAAAGGCAATTAAGCTTTTGGTATTCAAACTAGTACTAGTGTTAAAACCGTGCGATGCACGGGGGAATATGGGTCAACAATCACGAATGTGCTTGGTTTGCACCTCACAAACCTTAGCCAACCTTCCAATGACGTCTGCAGGAAAAAATGATATATCAAACTAAATAATTTAAATATCAAATTTTAATTTCACAAACAAAGTCAAAGGAAGTGTCACATAGTATAACATCAAATCTCGTAAAAGAAAATAAGATAAATTTAAATATACTAACCAATGAGAAGAATGCCACAAATTTGTTTGGGAATCAATTTCGAGAAGAGGGTAAAACTATAAGTGTGATTAGGAAATTTCACATCCTCAATTTCAATGCACAAAGTGTGCCCACGGAAGAAAAGATGATAATTAGCTGTAGTTGTTTTATAGTCACCCTCTTTCCACTCCTCAAAATGGTAATTTTTTATAGCATAATTTTTTCCCTCCATAAGATTCTTCTTGATATATTTGTTTATTTTTTTTTAACTTTTTTTTTATGGTACCTTGAATGCGATCTCCCTACGAATATATAAGTAAGATGTAGAGGATTAACAAAATATTTCTAAATGAATTTGTAGTTCTTGTTAAAATATAAGGAAGAAACATCCATAAATTTTAATGTATTTTTTATTTTCACAAATTAATATTGTTTCATAATAAAGTTGCAATTGAAAAAAGTTTCTCAAATAACCTTAATAGCAGGCAGCAATTTCATGTGAACGATAGAACTTCATTCAATTTGTAATGGTTATTATTATTACCAAACATGTAATTTTGAGTTGCAGACAAATTTTCTCAAATTTTTTTTATATTGTGAAAATCAAGATTTTGTTGATGAAGACTTACATTTTATAAATCAATTTTTGTCAGTGGATATTAGCAATAATCATTATCAACACAGATTAGTAATAATTTTAAGTTTTAGAAAATAATAATTCCACCAGTATAAATAAAATTTGTGATTTACAATTAGTAATAATACCAACAACAATTCAAAGTCTAAACAAGAGCATGGTATCATTATTTAATATATATATACGAACAAAGACATTATGTTCAATGGACGATAGAAAGACACGATAATGAAAGACATTATAAAATCATTGAATAGCACATTATATAGACTAATATTGGACAATAAATGCACCTCGAAATCATAAAAATGCACTCAATAAAGTGAATCACATTTTCTGCGTGGGTTATAATTCTTTCGTACATCCTAATTAGATGAAGTTTCATTCTATGGGCAATGAGTCCGTCAATTTTTAGATCGACACAAAAAGGTAAGCCAGTTTTCTTTGTTGAGTATGATCGACACAATGAGTCCGTCAATTTGTTGTGAATCACGTAAAGATGCTAATATGTTTATACTAATTAATAAATAATTTTTACCTTACATAAAGATGGTAATTGTTTATATTAATTAATAAATAATTTTAACTTATATGCACTACAATCGTTTCAAAGATTAAGGTCAAACCAATTATATGATGTAAACACTAATAATGGAATATGAATATTAATTAACCAAAATAATGAATCATAAACCAATGAAATCATACCAAATTTATCATTGGTAAATGACTCTTGAATATCTGAAGATACATGTTTTATGACTAACCAATATATGAATTATTAACTAATATTATTAGTTAATTTAGTGTGATTTAAAAATAAGAATGTTACCATCTTTATATAAATAAAGAAATATCATGTATAAATATGCCAACAATATATCATGCGTAAATATTACCATCTTTTCGCATGATATTTATGCCAAATGATATCATGGGTTAAGACGCGTTAATATAATTTCATATATGCCAACAATATTTGTTGACTTACCACATCAATATAAAATGATTTAATGAAAAATATTGCCAAATTTATCCGAAAAATTTAAGCGGGAAAAATTTGGTTAATTTTGGCAAAATGGATTGATCCATTATATAGGTATAGATTCGATTGTGCGGATGCGCAAATGTAAATAAACTTTTATATGTTATATGTGTGTGTAATAGTTAAAATCATTTTTTTTTTTTTTTTTTTTTTTTTTTTTTTTTTTTTTTTTTACGAAACGATAGAAGTTCTATTAAAACTCAAACGAACCATGTTCGAATATTACAAACCAACCGGAATAGAGAAATGGGAGGACTCGCACAAGGCGACCTAGAACCTCAACAAACAAACATACTGACTGAAAAGAAAAACCTCCACTGCCTAAGCCTAGAGGTGGCAAACTGCCAAATCAAAAACAAACCACAAAGAGTCTACAATACCAACAAAACAGGAACTAGAAAAGACTAAAACTAAGATAAAAGGGAATGTCATAAGTTAGAAAATGTGGAATATCACATTTTATAGATTTTATCATTAGTAAAATAAACGATATAAATATAAATTATTTAAATTACATATAAATCTTTATTTTGATTGCAATAATATAATTTTTGCAATCTTGATTGATTATCACCCATGAATTATATAAAATGATATTGAAACTATTATTATTGCAAATGTGTATGGAATATAAAAGGGCTTGGTTATGGAATAAACAGTAATTAATTATTTTAAATTAAAAACTTGCCAAATGAGTTGAAAAAATAAACTCTTAAATAAATATTTTTAATTTTTTTTTCAAAATACCATATCATTTAATATGATTTTATATTTAGTTAGCAGTAACTATTATGTAATAAACTAAATAAAAGTGTAATCCCTGTTATATATAATTTCGAATATGCTGAGCCAAGTGGCCGGTTCGCATGCTTCGGATTCCTATGTGAAAATTTTCGTACTTTGTCATTTGACTTAGGATGAATTTTAATTTATTCTCAATCCAGAAATAATTAATTTTGGAATAGTCATATATATACTAGATATTTATGGTCGTTTTTAAGAGCATTAATATTACATTTTCTATTCTAATCATGCTTTATAAGGTACAAATTTTTTCCTCAATCTTTGTATCAATATTATGTAACTTAAATTATAACTACATATAAAAGTTAATAAATTTGGTATTTATTATAATTTTTTATTCATAATATATCAAATTAATCATGTCTTGATGAGCTTCGATTTGAAACCTATATTATACATACAAAATAAATAAATAATTATATTTGTCTTTATAATAAAATTATATTACCTATTGGTATTAGCTAAAAAAATAAATTTTTTTAAAATCAATTAAACTACAATGTTGTTAAATTATATAATTTTAAAAAAATATTATGATATAAGATGGTAAGCCGTATAAGTGATGTGTGTTATTTTAAATATAAATAGTAATATTTTTATTCAAAAGAATATTGAAAATTAAAACAATTTTTTTTTTATTTTTAATTTTAAATATAATTTTCTTAACAAATATTCATGTAATACATAAGTATTGTACTAATTACTTTATTAATGCAAAATGTAACAAAAAAAAAAGTGAAAAAATGTATGTATGTATACTCGTTATGGTTCTTGTAAGCAATCTTGATCGATTTGTCCTTGGTTCGGCTTAAAAATCACTTGGAATTTGTGAAACATGCTCTGCTGCCCTACACTTCCCCATTGCGAATTGTTGAAGAAGGTGAAAATTCAATGTTAGGGTTGTATATACTCTGTTTGAATTTGTTCAGAAGCATGAGAAAGATATTGAATATTGAATGACTAAGGCTATACATGATTCCCGCCAAATCTACTCAATTATTACTACACGCAACTGTATTTCCTTTCTCAATATTAATGCCCCTTTTGTGTTTATTTTAACAGAAAAATTAGAGATAAATCCCTAATGGCTTATTCATTTTCTTTGTCAGTCCCCAACTTAAATTTTTTTCACTGCACTCCCATTTACAATCTTTTTCTTTCCTATTCACTCTCCATATATATACTAATATCATTATTTTACCTTTAAAAATTAGAAAACAAAAAAAAATTACAGAAACTTCATCTCTGTCCCCAAAATCTCTCTCATGGCGTGTTCAGATCCAAAAAAATTACAGAAACTTCATATCCAAATAAATTACCTATCGCCCCGTCCTCCCTCGCGCCCAAAATCGATCCATTATTTTCCGAAATCTGAAACATACTGCCTGTTAGGAGAGAGAAAATCGAGATCCACCGGATTCTCCACCGATCGATGAAGATCGGACCGGAGACGGCTGCGGCGCTGGTGCCGAGATGGCGAACCTTCCTCCGTGGTGCTGTCGGAAACCACGACGTCGTCGATCGGTTTTCTGCAGGGAGAAAACAGCAACGGGGGCAACGATAGCGTTAAGAACAGCGGTGATGGCGGGGGCGATGTGTGTCGGATCTGCCGAAATTTCGGCGAAGAGGATAATCAGTTGCGATGTCCATGTGCGTGCAGCGACAACATCAAGTTCGTTCACCAGGATTGCCTCCTGCAGTGGCTTAATCACAACAACGCCCGCCAATGCGAGGTTCGATTTATTGGGCCCGCGTGATTGTTGTTTTTGTTGATTAGAGAATTCTTAGTGAAATTGTTGGTATTATCACTTTTTGATGAGATTTGATTTCCCTGTTCTGATTAGTTGGGTTGCTCATTTGATGCATATGTCGAAGGCATGGGTTTAAGTCTTATATGTTCAATTTGTTTGGTGTAAAAGGATCAAATGACAGGAGGTTTATCAATTAAAGGTTGTCCTTGTAAGAATCATATAAATGGGAAAGCAATATGGTGTATGCTTTTTATGTAGTGGCAAGATTAGATAAAAGTGTCCTTATTTCCTTACATCTTGTGATCTGCTTAATCCCACTTTGGAAAATATCATGTTAATCTATTGATAATGTCTTGCCAAGCATGCAAATTGCAATGCAAGTAATAGTGAGTGTTCATGTAGAATGGAAAATATCATCATTACCAGCGTCTATTGTAAAATGGCAGTAACAAAACAGAAATGAGAAAAATGGTATAAAAGGAGGACAATTTTTACTTTATCTTGAATGAAAACACATATATAACCTGCTCGAGGATAGAAATATCAGTCAAAGAAATTCTCTGCCTGTTCACGTTTCCATATTCACGCTTGTAAATCAACTCCTTGATGCTCTTAAGGTTGGGGTATCTGAAAGTTCATGGAGTTGACCACTTTAATTTTCATTAAAAAAAAATGTCGAGTTGAGTGGGGGCTGTCCGAAAGGGGAAAATGTGGACTTGATTTGCTTTGGGTAGTGGGAATGTGTTGTGTAGTTTATGTTTGATTGTGTGCAGAGTGCAGTGTTGTATATTAGAAGTAAGAGGGAAGGAAAGCATATTGAAGGAGATGTTTGTGGTATTTCACATGGTTATGAGCGTGTTTGAAACGTGAATTTCGGTATGATGGAGAGTTTGGAGACTGACAAAGGGCGTTTGGAATGTTGACAAAGTTTAGTGGTACTAATTTCTTTCATATTTCCTTCTCTTTTGCTCTCCTGTTTCTTTTCTTTTATGGGTTGTTAACGAGAATGAATAAAGGTGCATATAAGTTTGTAGAGTGGAACATTTCATTGTCTTTGAGCAGTTGAGTGACCGATGAGTGTACAAAATCAAAGGCACCATTTTCTCTCCACAAAAAAACACAAGAATTTGGGAGTGATCAAGTGGTGAATGAAGTTTTTTTGGTGTTTTGTGTTTGATGGTTAGTTAAATAGTGAGTGTTGGGCTGGAAGTTGTTTTCATGAGATAAAATGGAAGAACATTGAAAAATATGTTCATAATAGGTGATGGATTTCGGTCTTAAATGATATATTACTCACAACTCACGCACACATTAGTTTCTATGAGTTTTTATATGTGTTTAATGAGATTTATGTGTGACTGATCCATGTGGCATGGTAGACGTGTCGGATTAAAGAAATCACAATTAGTAAAATGGTACCTCTTTTCTTACAAATAGTACCAATAATGTCTGTATGTAATACTTGTTATTAATCAATTAGTACCTACTTTAGTCAGTACCAACTTCGACGAACATAAAAAAAATAAAAATAAAATACCAAATTTTGTAAAATAGTACCAGTTTTACCACAAATAATACCACTTCTTCTTCTATGTTNATTGTTTAAGACAGTACCAGCTTTACAACAAATAATACCACCTTTTATTCTATTGGGTACCAGTTATTGATCAATTAATACTTACTTTGTAGAAAGAACAAAAAATGGATTACTTCAAATTCTACCTACATGTTTTAAGTTTCACTATTTTTCAACCAACTCACGTGGTGAACGATCCGTTTAGTAAAATAACCAGATCTAGAGTAAGATAGTACCAGCTTTCAGTGTTTTAGTACCAGATATCGGGTCTTTAGTACCAACTCCGACGAACATAAAAAAACACTGAATTTCGGTCTCAAATGATGTTTATATGACCAATAATCAATCTCACATTAGTTTGTATGAGATTTAAAATGTTTTAAATTGAGTTTAATCGTAAGATAGTCATGAATTCAACACACTAATGAGAAAAAACTATTAATACACTTAATTTCATTGAATGACACACTTCATCTCATAGAATCATCATACATGACTACTCCAAATTCTACCTATATGTTCTAACTTCCAATATTTTTCATCCAAATCAGGCGTGAATGATCCACGTGTCATGGTAGACATGAAGGATTAGAGAAATCACGATTCTTAAAATAGTACATGTTTTAGCTAATATGGTACCGCATCTTCTTCTATGTGCTACCTGTTTTTGATCAATTAGTACCAACTTTTGGTCAACGAAAATGGATTATTCAATTGTGGTCAACATTTGCAATAATTGGTACCTGACCTAGAATAGAATAGTACCAGCTTTCGGTGTTTTTAGTACCAGATATCAGGTCTTTAGTACCACTTGTAACGAACACATAAAAACACCGAATCTTTCGGTCTCAAATGATGTTTACATGACCAATAATCACTCACACATTAGTTTGTATGAGATTTAAAATGTTTTAGGTTGAGTTTAATCGTAAAATAGTCATGAACTCGACACACTAATGAGAAAACACTACTAATACACTTCATTTCATTGAATGACATACTCCATCTCATATAATCATCATACATGACTACTCCAAATTCTATCTATATGTTTTAAATTCCACTATTTTTTATCCAAATCATGCGTTAACAATCCACGTGAAAAGGTAGACATGAAAGATTAAAAAAATCACGATTCCTAAAACAATACCTATTTTAACTAAAATAGTACCACATATTTTTCTATGTGGTACCTGTTTTTAATCGATTAGTACTTACTTTTGTGAACGAAAATGAATTATTTCAATTTTGGTCAACATTTACAAAAAGTAGTACCAGACATACAGTAAGATAGTACCAGTTTTATGTTGTTGTAGTACCTGATCTTGGGTCTTTAGTACCACTTGTAATGAACACATAAAAACACCGAATTTCGGTCTCAAATGATGTTTATATGACCCATAATCACTCTCACATTAGTTTATATGAGATTTTAAAATGTTTTTAATTGAGTTTAATTGTAAAATGGTCATGAACTCGACACACTAATGAGAAAACACGACTAATACACTTCATTTCATTGAATGACACACTTCATCTCATAGAATCATCATACATGACTACTCCATATTCTACCTATATGTTTTAACTTCCACTATTTTTCATCCAAATCACGCGTGAGCGATCCACGTGTCATGGTAGACATGAAGGATTAGCGAAATCACGATTCTTAAAATAGTACTTGTTGTAGCCAAAATAGTACTGCATCTTCTTCTACGTGGTACCTGTTTTTGATCGATTAGTACCTACTTTTGTGAACGAAAATGAATTATTTCAATTTTGGTCAACATTTACAAAAAGTAGTACGAGACATGGAATAATATAGTACCAATTTTATATTGTTGTAGTACCTGGTATTGGGTCTTTAGTACCACTTATAATGAACACATAAAAACACCGAATTCGGTCTCAAATGATGTTTATATGACCCATAATCACTCTCACATTAGTTTATATGAGATTTAAAATATTTTTAAATGAGTTTAATCGTGTCTTCAGTACCAATTCCAACGAACATAAAAGATCATTGAATTTCGGTCTTAAATGATATTTATATTACTCAAAATCACTTATACGTTATTTTCTACGAGTTTTTGAATATGTTTAATTAAGTTTACTCGACAAGTGGTCATGAACTCAATAGAACTTTAGTTTTGAAATTTAGAAATATTTTGATTTTATTTTTAGGTAATTTTCATTTTATGGAAACAAATTTGTCTTTTAATTTCAATATAAATACAAAGCATCCCTTAATATATCCACAACCGCGACATTCTATATTTATTGCAATTAAAATCACTTAGGAGACACATTCCATATATGAAACTGATAAACATGATATATCACGCATTAAATTTGTTGATATCCTATCATAATATTTATTTGTTTTCTTTAAAAAAAATAAATGATTGGACACTCCACAGGTATGGACTAAATTGCTCTTCCGGATGGCAAAGACCTGATCACCTTTGTATTTTGAGGCACATATCCTCCATTGACAACCCTCATCAGTACAACAAACAATGATCTTCTGTTGATCATTTTTTCGGTACTTGAAAGAACGCCTATTCGCAATTGCGTAGTTTTTAACAACCTTCCGAAATTCATCCGCGCCGCCACTGAACATTTGCCCCTCTCCTTTGATGGAGAATCTCCAAGAATCGATCGATTTATCTTGCCACTGATCACTTTATTTGTTTTAGGGTAAATATAAACAACAATATTCAAAATTCAATCCTTCACAAATCAAACAAAAATATATGAATTAAAGATGATTTTGAGACTCCAAACTTCTCATATAATACATACATTACTTACTACTTCAAGTCTTCGCCAGAAAAAGTCACAATCTTGCCGGAAAAATATGAATTTTCGGACATAGAGATAGGAATTTTTGTGCCCCTTCCATGTATCTAACAATAATTGGATTAAAAAAAAAAGCAAGTTCACATTTCCCAGCCCAGATGGTACCAACAGTCAGCAAAGTGGTACTATATATCTAAACAGAGGTAAAAAAAATCATGAATACTGGTACTATGATTATTCTCATCTTATATTTTTGTTTTATGGTCAATAACACCTAATATAACCTAACAATAGCATAAATTTAGTATACATGAAAAAAAAAAAAAGATTGTGATTACTTTATTTGTTTTAGGGTAAATATAAACAACAATATTCAAAATTCAATCCTTCACAAATCAAACAAAAATATATGAATTAAAGATGATTTTGAGACTCCAAACTTCTCATATAATACATACATTACTTACTACTTCAAGTCTTCGCCAGAAAAAGTCACAATCTTACCGGAAAAATATGAATTTTCGGACATAGAGATAGGAATTTTAGTGCCCCTTCCATGTATCTAACAATAATTGTATTAAAAAATAAAAGCAAGTTCACATTTCCCAGCACAGATGGTACCAACAGTGAGCAAAGTGGTACTATATATCCAAACAGAGGTACACAAAATCATGAATACTGGTACTATGATTATTCTCATCTTATATTTTTGTTTTATGGTCAATAACACCTAATATAACCTGACAATACCATAAATTTAGTATACATAAACAAAAAAAAGATTGTGATTACTTTATTTGTTTTAGGATAAATATAAACAACAATATTCAAAATTCAATCCTTCACAAATCAAACAAAAATATATGATTTAAAGATGATTTTGAGACTCCAAACTTCTCATATAATGCATACATTACTTACTACTTCAAGTTTTCGCCGGAAAAAGTCACAATCTTGCCGGAAAAATATGAATTTTCGGACTTAGAGATAGGAATTTTTGTGCCCCTTCCATGTATCTAACAATAATTGGAAAAAAAAGATGTTCACATTTCCCAGCACAAATGGTACTAACAGTAAGCAAAGTGGTATTATATATCAAAACAGAGGTACACACAATCATGAATACTGGTACTATGATTATTCTCATCTTATTTTTTTGTTTTATGGTCAATAACACCTAACATTACCTAACAATAGCATAAATTTAGTATATATGAACCAGCGTTTTAAAACGCGCATCGCGCAATGCGTCGCGTTTTGGTCCTTATATTGCGTAGCGTAAATAGCGTAGCGCATTGCGTAAGCTATTTGAGCAATTCTTTTTTAATGCTAAAAATAATAATATATAACCATACAAGCGAATAAATAGTTAAAATGGTCTTAAACCATAAACTTGGACATTGAATCCAAAAAATAACATTCAAATATTAATTCTTCAAACAACCAATGTCTTAATGTTTAAAATATGCGTAAGCTATTCGAGCAATTCTTTTTTAATGCTAAAAATAATAATATATAACCATACAAGCGAATAAATAGTTAAAATGGTCTTAAACCATAAACTTGGACATTGAATCTAAAAAATAACATTCAAATATTAATTCTTCAAACAACCAATGTCTTAATGTTTAAAATAAAGACTCAAAATCTTAAAATGATCGGTGTTATCCAATTGAATTTGGCTATTATCGTCAATTCTATCAAAGTTACGGATATTTTCACTATAAAAAATTATTAGTACAATTTCATCAAATTCTTGCATCTCCTCATCATTTGGAGAAAAAAATGAAGTGTTCTTTTCATTTCACTTTTGAGTTTAAGAAACATAAACATTTCATGATTCTAATAGTCCAAAAGATCAATCTTAGATATGTTGATATCAATTTTTCAATTTTTTTTTCAAGGGAAATACGAAACATGATTTAATAATCACTCAAATTCGCCATGGGAGAAATTACTCAATTTTGTGCCCTACATTTTTTTTTTGTATTTTATTATTTTATTTTTTATTTTTTGCCTATAAATAAGGATTACCCAAATAGCGTGAGAAATAGCATAAATTGCGTAAATAGCGCAAAATATAGCGTAAATTGCGTAAATAGCGCAAAATATAGCGCAAATTGCGTACGCTTTTCTGGAACTGCGCGAAATTATATAAGCTATATCGCGTTTTTGGGTAAAAATGCGCTATAGCGCGCTTCGTAGCGCGCGAAATTGCGCTATTTAAAACACTGATATGAACAAAAAAAAAGGATTATGATCACTTTTTTGTTTTAGGGTAAATATAAACAACAATATTCAAAATTCAATCATTCACAAATTAAACAATAATATATGAATTAAAGATGATTTTTGGACTCCAAACTTCTCATATAATACATACATTACCTATTACTTCAAGTTTTCGCTAGAAAAAACCACAATGTTGCCGGAAAAAAAGGAATTTTCGGACAGAGAAGTACAATTTTTCGCCGGTAAAACAGGGATTTTCGGCCGGAAAAAGCCCTAAGGTCGCTGGATTTTTTGCCTCCGATAAAAGCCCCAGGGTCCGGTTTGTAATCGCCAGCGAGATGAAGCTGCAAAAAAAAATAAAATAAAGAGCAGCGATGAAGAAGAAAAATGCAGGAGAAGGAGAAGAATAGGGAAGAAAGAATAGGTAAACAAAAAGAATAAAATAATGAAAAATAGTGGGATGATGTCATATAACAATTTCTTTGTGATTTAATTTAATAAGAGAGATTTAAATGGAAGATGATTAGGGGGGTAGGGAGTGAAATAGACAAAAATTAGTACTAGGGACTGACTTGGAAGTTAGAATTTGGATTGAGAATTTTTAAAGAAAGCTCCCTTATTTTAATTAGCTTCGTACTTTTAGAAATAATATCTCAATTTTATATTTTCTAAGAAAAATTTAATTTAAACCATAGGGTAAGTACATTTCTCTAAAATTAACACCAAAAGCCCAAAAATATAATAAAAATGTATACAATTATATATTATACATATAAAATAAATAAATATTATATATTAATTAAATCGGTTCGACCACTTGTCCAACTAGTGAACCATTAAACTATCAACTTCACCGTTTCAATGATATGTTCGGTTTTTAAAACCTTGGTCTTTACCTGTTACTATCGCTTATACAATGGCATGATCTTCAGTCATTTATAATTGCCGGTTCCTAAGAAAAGAAAATTATTACTAATTTTTTATTTTTTAACTGATCTAAAAATTCAATCATGTGACGAAAGATTAGCATTTGCATTAAAAAATAATAGTATGGACAATGAGATAAGAAACGCCGAAACATTGGTCTCCATTTTCTTGCTTTATCTATAAAGAAATCAAATAACTTTATCCGTTGCTCCTTCACAAAATTGATGTGGAAGCTACTTTTAATTAATTAACTTGATAAATTACTCGTGGACAGTAGCTTTTGACCGAACAAATTAAACCAATTTGTCGTCTTGACATCTAAAGCTTTATAGGCATACTTGTTATAATTGCCAAATTGGATATATTTGTAGAAAAAATTTGAGTTGGTCTTTAGGAGTTGAATATCAAATCCCGACACTATTGTAAGAAGTTTGAAAACAGAAACTTGACAAAGTGCATATCAAATAATATGCGAGGAGGCTGGCACACGATTGCCACTCCATTTTTCCATAAAATTTACTTTATTTATTGTAATATTTTCTTATTTCCCTTCCTTTGCTGTCTTTTTATTTATTCTTCTAGTTTTTACTATTTCGGTTACTTCTGAAAATATTTGTTTTGTTGTACAGTATTTTTTATATACTTATTAAATTTTTTGTTTATATATATATATATATATATATATATTCTAATTTCTTAATATCTATATTTATAATGTTTGTGTTTTACAATCAATTATTATATATTTATGACAATAAGTACAACATTTACCTTAAAAAATTTAAATAAAGTCTTATTATTGAAAATTGAATTTATAATTTATATCTATCATTATATAAAAAGAATAACTTTTTTACAAATTTAGAAACTTTTTCCCGCCAAAATCATTAAATATATCCTAATATAGTAATTGTTGGACAAATCTGAATAGGCAAAAAAATCGGCTCATTTTTTTTAATTTATCAAAACCGTTGTTTGACAATAAATATTTGTTTTTCTTTTTTCTATTTTTAGTATAAATCTACACGCTTATCTCTTCTGTTACAAAATCCCATTGCATATGATCTCACGTGTTTAAAAAATCTCATCCCTTATCTATACAGATTTAAAAAAATAAAATAAAATAGAAACCAAATTATAATTACTACTAGAAATCCATTATTTTTAAAAAGAAAAAATAAAATAAAATAGAAACTAATTCATAATTACTACTGGAAATCCATTATCTACTTTAAGAAGCTAATTTTCATCGGTCTAATTACTAATATTTTTACAAATATTATAAGCTAATCGGTCTAATTACTAATATTTTTTACAAATATTATAAGCTAACCATACAAAAAAGTATAATAATAATTTTGAAATGGTGTGTAATCAATTTTTTTTTTATATTCTCTTATACAAAATAATTTTACATTGTTTGACCCCGAATCTATAATTTATAATTAGTAAGTATTGTTTATCCTCCTCTTTAATTTATAATTATTTTTTTTGCTTCCTCTTTTTAAATAGGAACAATAGTAGTTTCCACTTCCGTCATTGAGTGACTCAAACTCGAGGTCTATTTATAATATTATTAATTTAATATCGTTTCCGTGTATCGCACGGGGTATACACTACTATATATATATAAGGATTAGTTCAAATGCGGCCGCTTTTTTAAAGTGAGGACGTGAGACTCATTTTTTGCCACAAGATTTTTTTACATCATGTGTGGCCAAGATTTATTCTTTTCTTTTTATTATTTTAATTATTTAAATATTATTTTGACCCGTTGACTTCCGGCGTTGACTTCCGGCGAAATTCGTTGACTTCCGGCGTTGACCGTTGATAACTAACCTTCCAACTAGGTTAGTTCTCTGTAGTTGCTAGGTTAGTAGTAGTTAGGTTAGTTCTCTATAGTTGCTAAGAGCTGTCTGCATTTTAAGAGTTGTCCTCATTTGATCCACCCCTATATATATATATATGTATGAATAACAAAATATTAAGATCACATAGACATGCCATTTCCTCTTTTAATTTTGTATCTTACTATCAAGTGCATTAATTTTTAGAATATAAATATATTTGACTATATTAGTAAATCTTATTTATGATTAATATTTTCGATATTATCTTTTGAGTTAAATATGTATGCTACATATAATACTTTTCTATATAAATTTTGAATTGACTTTCATAACCTTATTTTTGGTAAATTATAAGAAAATCAAAATATTTTATTTGTTGCGTAAAACTTTTATGAGTGGATTAAAAAATTAAGTTTATTAACTATTAATTTATTAAAAAAAATAAAATATAAAATGTTATAAACTTTAAAATTATATAACTATGTCATATGAAAGTAATATAAATTAAAAAAATAAAATAGTTAATATATTATTTATTTATTTTTATAACAAGTGCGTTGGATTTTTTTGGTTTTATATGTTAATTTTGAAAAAAGTGGTATGATTAGTTGTTAGTGAGATCTTGAATTTATTAAAATAGTATTTGAAATAAAATAATTAAAATTGATTTAATGTAAAAGTAGGAGAGAGATGATGTGAAATGTTGATTAGTTAAAATTATGCGAATGGATAAATAGTGAATTAAAGTTGATGTAATGTGTAAGAATGATTAAGTGATATTATCTAATTATATTGATAATATTGAGAATAGTGGAGTTGAGTTAAAATCGAGTTAAATTTGAGTTATAAAAAGTGATTGATTAAAAATGATTAAATTTTTTTGGAAAAATTTATTTCCAAGCATAACCATGAAACTCCTAAAAAAACTTCTATAATATTTACTGTCATTGAAACCTTGTATTTATGAACCCAAGTAGTAAGTATAAGATGCTTTGATTTTGTTTCGATTTTTTGTTTTGTTTAGTTAATTTTAAAAAAAGGTCGTATGATTAGTTGTGAGTACAATTTGACTTTATTAAAATAATATTTAAAATAAAATAATTAAAGTTGATTTGATAAAAAAGTAGGAGAAAAATAATCTGAAGTGATGATTAATTAAAAGTATGTGAGTGAATGAATATTGAATTAAAATTGATGTAATGTGTAAGAATGATTGAGTGATACTATTTAATTATATTGATAATATTGATAATAGTGGAACTGAATTAAAATTGAGTTTAAAAAAAATAATTACATTTTTTTGGAAAAAAACTAGTATCTAAGCATACTTTTTGTAGGATTTGAAATGAATCGAATATAACTTGAATTGATTAGCCTAACCAATAGAAAACCATCCAATAGACAGGATCTAATCTAGGCTGTAGGCTCTCTCCAAAACTGGGGAATCCGATTAAATCTTGAAAAAAAAAAGTTACTTTTTTGTCCTCACATAATTCATCTTTGGTGAATACTCTCTCTTATTTTTAATAAATGCCGTTTAGAGAAGTTGCACAGTAATTTTTTTTTTTTGTCAATAATAACCCTCATTAATTAGGATAGAGATGGATGTTTGGAGAAAAGATAAAGAGTTAATATGAAAAGACGTAATGTATTTATCAGCTAGATGAGAATAATAATGAAAATTATGTACAAAAAATCCCAAACGTCATTTATTTAGTTAATTGTTGATAAAATCAAAATGACATTTATAAAAAATAAGAGGCAGTATTATTTATCGAATTTGTCGTACAAGCGTACAACCCTACTTTTCACATAATAGAACAGGCATTTGTGTTATCATCACTGAACAAATAAGTGATTCTTTCCTCTTCTGAATTCGGGGCAGTGACAGCTTGCGCGACATTACGAACAAATCCAGACGGAGCCTTTTTGTCGTACGCTTGAGCTACATAAGGGTGCTGCACTAAATTGTAAGCTATATATGGCCACAATTCAGCTCGTTTTCCTGTGCTCTTCACTCTCTTTAGAACCTTCTTCGGGTCTACAAAACCGCTAACTGTTACACGGTGTTGCTTTCGGTTCACATCCACACTTCTCACTCCTAGAAATCATAAACATGAAATTAATTGAATAAAAATTATATATGTACTCGGACAGTAATATATATTTTTGTCAGACAGGTTTAATCTTTAGATAATAGTATCTTTTTAATGAAGATACATATTATTTTAAGTAAATAGCGTACTTTAAAAAACATTTTCCATGAATTGATTGTGGTAAAGAAAGAAAAAAATTGTAGATTAATGGAAAACAATGGATTGATTAATTTTTTTTTATGCATGTCACGTTGACTTATATTGAGGGCAATTATGGGAACCTTTCATGTTTTTGACAGCATTCTTGACTCTTCTTTCACATCCATCACAATCCATTTTCACTTTGATCTCAACCGTCTGCAAAACAAATTAATAACAGAGAATTAATTACACAAATTAAGAAAAAAAAATTATAAAAGTTCTCGTTCATTAATCATAATATGATTAGTAACATTAAGGAAAATAAATATGTAACAACTGAGAAATCTAGATTATGAAATACCTGCATTGGTTTCCTTTTTTTCCTAGTGCTGGTGACAGTGCAAAAGTTTGAAAGATAATCAAGAGCACCCATTTTTTTCTTCTTCTTCTTCTTCTTTTTTTTTTTCTTCTAATTTTTTTGATATTTTGGTTACAAATTAAAGAGTCTTTAGTATTTATGCAGTTGGAGGAGGTGGTGGGACTTGGTGTGAGTAAGGACTTGCTGTGTGTTTTCGTTGATCAAATTAAGATATTTGATTTAAATATTTGAAACTAAATAATAATTTAATAATAATGCCCAGAAAATGCGGTAATGCAGGTTGAAATCATGATGAGTGGGCAACAAAGCTTTCCGATTTTATGATATGATATGTTTTATATTGTTTATATTGTTAAGTTAATCATGGACATGTAAAAGTGCTTTTAATCTAGAGTGTGTTGTGCTTTCATTTTCGTCCAGTGGATGTGGCGCTTGCTTTTCCATTATTTATTTGGAGAAGGCCGCAATTATTGCTTCTTTCCAAATTCCATGATTGCTTAGTACTATTTGGATTCCATGTACTACATAGTTTTGGATATATTGAACTCTCTTTTTCCATCTTTTATTTGAAAATTTGAAATTATGGACTTTATTTGAGCAAAAACATGCATTATTGTGAAGTTAAATCATGAATATACTTCATTGCATTTTAATTAAGTATGATCTTTCAATTATTTTGGCAATTTTAAAACTTGAGGTGGACATAGATTTTATTAACCATTAAATGATGCGTCCAAAAAGCTGACTAAGTGTAGGTGAATGAGACTCGTTATTAAAAAATCAAATGACATAATAAAAATATTTAATAATTAGTTTATAAACCAGCTAACAATTTAAAACAAAGTCACAAATTGTTTTGAAAAATGCATATCCAAAAGACCATCATACAAAACTATTTTATATGGGAAAAATGTATTCTCAAATGTAAACCAACTCAAAGAAAAACTTTTTGACTATTTCTCTTTCTATAAAATTACTCTTGTCAAAANACTTAAAATCCTTTGGGCCTACTATTCTGGCCATGGCTGGGCCGGCGATGACAGTGTCTTTAAGACCCACTGCCTTGCATTGGATTGGAGTTTGGACACTGGAGATTTTCTCCTATTGTCCAATATAAATGTCAAGTTACTCCCCTTAATATTCGATCATGTGCATTTACACAGATGTAAATAAAACTAAATATTTTAAATTATTTGTATGCATATAATATTAACATTATAAGTTAAATATAATATTATATTTTAAACATATAGTATTATAAGTTATATTTATATATATAATATTAAAATTAAATTAGATAATAGTATTATATTTTAAAGATCATTGGTTAAAATAAATAGTACATATGATTTGATTGCATACGAATCACTATATTGATTGCGCGAAATGTAATAAATATATAATCTTTGTAATTTTGAGTGACCAATTAATTAGCTGAAATATTAAATTTATTATAACAATTGTTTATGTGATTCTAAGAAATTTTACTATGACATAAAAAAATTTAATTTATTTAAAAAACAATCGCTTAATCATATAAAAATATAATATTGATTTTAGTGAAAATATAATTTTATGTAACTTTTATATATCATTTAGTGTAAAATATAATTACTAATTTTAATATTAACTATTATATGATTCAATAAAAAAATATAATTATTACTCAATTAACATAAAAACATTGTTTTTGTCTTAAGTAACCCAAAAAAGTGTAATGAAATATTTTATTATTAATGAGATAGAGCGTATTAATGCCACATAAGTAAAATTTATTAAGTTTTATTTATTATGTTTTATTTAATGAGTTTCCACATAGGTAAAATTTATTAGGTTTTATTTATGAGGTAAAATTTATTGCTTATTTATTAGGTAAAATTTATTGCTAAGTTAGCAATTATATATATATATAGACACATATATATAGATGTTATATGAAATAGTCATGTCACCACAACATATAACACAAATATAATTAATCATTTTCTTTTTTACAAAATCAGAATAAAGCTAAAATAAGGGGGTTCAAAAATAAAACAACTCAAAGCATGCTAATTATCTTATTTGAAGTATATTCTAATACAACACTAATGCATTTCACTGCAAACCTTTAAATAATAACAAAAAATTAATAGAATGTTCAAAATTAACAATTAATTTCTATTGGTAAATTATACTTTACATGTATCGTTTTGCTAAGAAAAAATAGAGGTGGTAATATAATTTGATAAAATTCAAATATCATGATTACTTTGCAAATTCACGTAAGCTTTTGATATTATATGCAATATTCTAGGTGATGTAGAAAAAATTTGAAAAGACTTTACTCGCCAGTATTTTTTCGGACACATCAGATTCAGGTGATCAATTTTTTATTTCCTTGTACCTTTTCGCAAAAAAAAAAAAAACAACAGTGATGATATAATTTCCCAAAGTCAATAATTCATGATTAAAATGCAAATTCGATAAAAGTCGTGGTATTACATTGCAATTTTGCCTAATTTGATTGATAAGTTGATGTAATTAGTTTCGTCACAAGAGACAAGGGCTCCACTGCCGACAAGCAACACTGCAAGCCGCCACGCAACAAACAGCCAAGAGCAACACTAGTTAGTTTAAGCATTCTCCGTTTCTGTCCACCACCAAGCATAAAGGGCTTAACAAAAGACATTAGTCAAGAGAAACACACTACACACACTACTACAGTCAATCACAGGCTACTACACAATGGCCAAGAAAAAACAAGAACCCGAAAACTAAATTAAAACCAATTTCAAGCAGTACTCTCGTTGAGGACAAGTTCCAACTCGAGTGGTCGCCTTCCTCTCATCAAATCCATAGGGACAAAAACGTACTTTCCCGACCTATCCTTATCCGTCCACTCCTGCTTGCACTCTACACTCGTCTTCATATTCAACGACGTGCCCACACCAACCTTCGCCGTGAGGTCGCACGAAAACGGGCCTCCCTCAACGGACTCGGGCCCCACACAGAACACATCTACCTCAACCCCACGTGAACTGAAAGCACGAGTGCAGACGAAAAGCGTTCTGCGGTTCTTTTCTTGAAGAAAGAATTTGTCCTCGTAATTGCCCACGAATGAGATGGAGGTGCCGAAAGAGAACGTTTGGGAATAATGCGAATGCTCCAGAGTGAAATGCGTGTAGAGACGCGTGTACTTGTGTGAGAATTTGCAGCCTGGGAAAGGGCAAGGGAAAGGAGTGAACTCGCAAGTGTCCTCGTGAGAGAGTCGATCGATGTGGGTTAACGATTCCGTGCAGCCATTGGACGAGTTTTTGCACGGGAAGGTGAGAGATTCTAGAACCTTCTCGAGAGCCCTGCAACGAATGACTCCAGTCACACGGCGGCAGATTGAGCATTTGTTGTTAGTTTTTTTGCAGCATGCGGTGCATGTTATATGCCCGTTGGTACACTACATTCACAAGCAGAAAAGGAATCAATAGAGTAAGATGTTTAAGATATCACCCGGACGACAAGGAGCACACATTTTTCTATTCATCTCTACAACTCTATTGCTACATTGTGAAAGTTTCACAAGCTGAAGAATATTGGGGCCACCTACAAACTAATAGATGTTTGATAGACTCATAAAAAAATGGAAGTGTATGTTGATGATATGCTTATAAAATCCTTGTACGCCTTTGAGCATAGTAAACATATTAATGAAATGATTACTATTTTGAGGGATTATAAGATGATGTTTTAAAAAAGTGTCGGTTTGAAGTTGGCTCAGGATTTGCTATGAGAGTTATGAAAATCGCTAGGTGAGAAAAATATACTCCTAAATTGCATATTCCCCCATTTCAAACGACACAGAATAAACACACGGCAAAAAGGCAATAAAGCAACTACATTTTCTCCAACTTCATTTATCCTTACATAGCTACAATAACTCCGGATACTTCAACACTGATAGCCACATTCAATAGGTAATGTTAACTAGTCATTATCTCAACCAATTAATGTAGAGTTGTTTTCTTAGCACTATATAATGGATTATTCGATCCGCCTTGTTAAGTAGTTATTATTGTTTGGCTTAAACAGGTTTTTAAAATATTTGGATAAAATAAAAAGAAAGAGACACTCTTGAATGTCAGCAATGGCTGTTTGCAACTAAAATAATCCCAACTCAGTGGAGTTGTTTGAATGTTTCTTAATTTTCTTTCACTGCAAAAATTTTCAATTTTTAATTATAATTAACCCATCAAAAAAGAAGAAGAAGAAACCTGATACACGGGGGAGCGAAGGGGTTGGCAGCATATAGCGCAATCCAGCACGTCCGTGTCCGTCAGATTTGCCGCCAATTGGCCCCTCCGACTCGAGCCCTCGCCGCCCGATTCATTACAATCCCGGGTCGGATCCGATCCACCGTCGGATGGCGAACTCGATGACTTTGTTTCGCTGTCTGATTCCGACGAGGAGGAAATAGATACTGTCGTCGGAATCTTTGTCTCAGAGGCCGCGGCGGTCTTGGACGTAGTTGCGGAGGTGTCGATCGGCCTCTCAGAGGACTTGGAATTTAGACAGACTTGTCTCTTTTTCTTGGCCTTCGCGGCGACGGTTTTACGAGGGTAACTAGGCCACCCAGTGTACCTTTCACCATTACCGGCATTCCTTGGTACTCTGGTCATGATATTTTTTTTTTTTCTTCTTTTCTTCCGCCGCAGCAAGGTAAAATGGTCGCCTCTGAACGCTCTTGTTGGTGGCGCAGCGCAGGGTTTCCTAAATTTGCGAATGGGTCCTTCAAATTGGATGGACCTTTGCTTTTAGCAGCCCCTGAGAGTTTTGGAATGGTCAGAAAGGGCTTGAAATTTTTCAGCATTTGCTGTTAGCAGACCCTAGAATTTTGGAATGATAAAAAAGTCAAGGTTCTGAAATTCGAACCGGTCATCGAATCGGTGAATCTATCGATTCAATAGTTCACTGGTCGGATCAGTCGTCGAATCGGTTTAATTTATATATAATTTTTATTTATTTTATATGTATAATATCTAATTGTATATGTTTTTTTCATTAATTTTATAGTGTACAACCATGTCAAGGTTAGGGTTAGTAGGGTTCTCTTCAGGTTGTGAAGGGTCATCCACATTTCCAGTTGGAGTGGCCGGTTGATCCTCTGGCAAATAATCGCCACTGGATTCGTCTGAACCATCTTTATCAGGGTGTCATTTGCAACATGAGTGATAGGGACATATGGTTTCTTTTTTTTGGTGACAACTTTTGATTTATCCTATGTGAAGAAAATCTTTGAAAACTTTAACAAGGATTGTTCGACTCATTTTAGTACCCTGAAACATATAAACCAACATTTGTCGAAATATAAAGGCGAAAGTAATTTTCAAGTAGAATACTCAAGGGTAATAGGGAGTCTGATGTATCTAATGAATTGTACTAGACCAAACATCGCATTTTCCGTGAATAAACTAAGTAGATATACAAGTAATCCATGACATGAACACTGGAAAAAAATTGTGAGATTGCTCAGATATTTAAGATACACTCGGAAATATGGTCTGAACTATTGTATATATCCAACTATGATTGAAGAATATAATGATGTCAACTGGAGATCGGATATGAAAGACACTAAATCTATTGGTGATATCGATTTACTTTGGGAAGTATAGCCATATCATGGAAATCTTATAAAAAAACTATTATTTCCAGATCGACAATGAAGTCTAAATTTATAGCATGGAACAGAAGTGGAGAAAAGACCAAATGACTTCCCATTTCTTAGAAAATATTCAAAGATGGCCAAAACCCCTACAACCATTTGTATACATTGTAATAGTCAATCGGCTATAGGCAGAGCACAACGTAGTATATTAAGAATCACTTATGCGAGAGAGAAGTGCGTCCGCTTCGAAGAGAATTGTGTAATGCTCAATTCTTAAACTCTCTCACACAACCATACTGGTATGAAATGACTCTCGACCGAATTGGTTTTGGCCTGGTTTGGGTTCATCGCCGGTAGATCGTCCTTCAAGAGCTACAAAATCTTGACATCGGATGAGGTTTTTCCGGTGAAGAGCTTCCGATGCTTAAGTTAGCAGAGTGAAAAAGATGATGAGCAATATGTAAGTATGTAGATAATGTAATGTTCTAGAGGGCATAACTCACTCCATTTTATAGGAAGTGTTAACTTGTTGCCCAAGACTGCCTGAGTGAGCTGCTCGGACTGCCCGAACAGCCCGTCCGTACTGCCCGATCTGTCCGAAATGCCCAATTCTGTTAGACCACATGGCCCTATCCACATGTGGTCTTTATCCTGATAATATTCCTTGTTATCCATTACTCCGCCTTATTAGATCGCCTAGTCATGCGACTAGCTAGAATCGTGTTGAGGTTGAATGCTGGGTACGTCGAGTCCACGTGCCCTGTCCTTCTGGTCGATCACAGGACCAATCATACCTTCAGGTCGAGTTTCCATCAGGCGTCGGTGTCTCTTTAAACCCCCAACACCTTCCTCGACCTGAAGACTCCTTGTTGTGCTGATGTTTGATATGCGTTCGACCTACATATGCGCCAGCTCGACAATTTTGTCCGCCCGGCCTAGTCAGCTGGTTTATTAGGTTTGTACTACCTGGTGCGGTATCCCATATCACATACTATTTCCAAGGCCATAAATGGACATATAATGAGAAATGGGATATATTAGGGAGAATCATGTGTGAAGTATATTCATCATTTACAAAAAAGTCAGAACAGTTCAAAGACATCACGTCTATTTGTCAGACAGTAAAGTTAATGTACTTTTACAAGGTAATGTTCAAAGGGTAACACCTATTTGTCCTATGCAGATTTGAACTATTGGACCACAACATTATTTTGTAATTTCATTCATGTGGGGGTTGTTGGGAAAACTTAGTGAATGAAATTAGTAATAGAAGATTGAATTTGGAAACCGTGTCTTCCACCTTTAAAACTTGTGGCTTGTTTTTCTTAATGTTAAAAGAATCTGTAGCTTAACTTTATTATTTTTTAAATAAGTTTATTAGATAATTAAAGTGACTTATCTTATGCTTATAAATAGAGTGGTCTTCTTTTAGGAGAAAGACACACGAAAAGAAGATAAAAAAAAAAAAAAAAACAAGATTTCCCCAATTTTTTTTATAGTATGTTGGTTCAGACATAATTCCAGTTTACCAAATTTTATTCATTATTTTTTTTTAAGTAAATGCATTAGTTAAAGTGACTTATCTTAATAGTATGTTGGTTCAGACATAATTCCAGTTCACCAAATTTTATTCATTAATTTTTTTAATTAAATGCATTAGTTAAAGTGGCTTATCTTATCCCCTCTATATATAATTTTAGAATGCGCCGAGCCCTGACAAACTCTCATGCTTCGTAATTCTATTTGACAAAAAATCATGTTTTGGAGTTAGGCTTGATAAAAATTAATATTTTTTATTTTTATATGTGATAAGCATGATCGTCAATCCGGTTTATGTTGTTTTCTAAGTCCCAGAATCCTTGTTATATGGGCAAGTTTTCCAGTAGAAAAACAACAAATCAAAAGATCACACATGTAAGTGATATGTGAGAAATCTTGTATTATTTTGTGATTACATTTACATATTTGAGCATTAGATTTTAGTGTATTATTCAAGTTTTCTCACGTATTTTATTTTATGAACGGACGTACACCAATATTTGGATTTTGTTTTATTTTGCAGTTATTATGTCTATTTATGATATGGCATTGATGAGGTGGCAAATGGGACATGCAAGAATGTGGATTATACTTAAAGCACACGTTGGGCTCTTAATTTAATTCATGGGACTTTGGATTAGTTACTTGTGCAAGTGAATTATTTTTGGTGGTCTCTCACTTGTTGACCGGATAGAGAATTTGTAGTGGCATGGACTCATTTTATTTAAGGATTGGGCAAAGGAATATGATTGGGTGTGGACTCTTAATTGGAGGGGACTAGGAGTAAATAAAAAAAGTTCATGCTGGAGCTTGGGACGTGAACAGAGAGTGCTTGGGAGGAGATCAAACTAATTTTGGTTGTTGGAATTTAATTGGAGTCGTGGACTACTTTGATCAAAAAGGAGTTTGATTTTATTTTTTTTGCTTTGTTTTATTTTGTTCTAAGACCATGAATATTTATTATTGTTTTTATCATTTAGCTATGTGTAGCTAAACACTATTTCGGTTCTAGGGACGTTGAACCCTCGATGACTATGTTTGATTAATGCTATTTATTTCGTTTTACTCGTCGTATAAAATTGTTTGTGCTATTCTAGTTTCATGTCATAATGTGTGATTTTTAATTTAGCTTGATCACCTAAGTTAGGAATTGCATGTTAATTGCTAGATTTGAGGCTTCGATCCGTAATCGTCGTCGCTCTTATTTCGTTTGTAGCAACTAACAGTCGTGCATTGTTAGGGATAGCACAACATAAGTTACATGAACCGAGCTTATGTGTTTGTGGCTTAGATCGGTCTATTTTCCTAGATTTTAATGCGACTAGTGGGTTAAATTAGGAGAGCTTATTCCGAGTTATTCGCTAGTTAGAATTAATTGAAGAGCTTATTTCGATTAAGTATAAATTAAGGGAGAATTCGGGTAGCAGAGCTTATTGCTATCTAGGACCGGTAGTTTTAGAAGACGAGTGAAATTTGATAAACACATTAATTGGACTACTTATTCGAGGGTGTAGACCGACCTGGAACCGATTTCATTCTCATTCTCACTAGATTATTTATTTATTTTCTATTTGATAATCATCTTTGCATTTTAATCATCTATCTCTAGTTTTAATTTAATTTATCATTTTGCTAGTAGTTCGTTTAAATCAAATTCCCCCCATTTTTTTATCTTAATCTAATTAATATAATAAATTCACTGTTTATACCACACTCCCTGTGGGATCGACCCTTGCTCGCCGCTACTACTAGTTAGTAGAGGTTTGTTAAGGAAAAAATATAAATTCAAATTTGCCGTGTAACGACGCGCGGTCAAATTTTGGCGCCGTTGCTGGGGAGTGGCGCGATATAAATAGTGATTTTCTTGTGTTAGTTTTCAGTTTTTCGGTTGAATTTTTTGTGTGAATTTTCGCTGCTATTCTGTTATCGCCCCCAGTGATAACAGAAAATACGTCGGGTTTTTACATCAAATTATTTCCGAATTTTATCACGTTTGAGCTAAACTTTTTCTTGATTTTTGTAGGTGAATGAAAACAAGGTCTTCAGGGGCTGAAGACTTGGAATATTATTCGGAGATCACGAGACGGGATACAGAGCTAAGGAAGAAAGCTCGGCAAGAGAAGGAGGCGATTCTCGACAAGGGTTTCCAGTTCGAAATCGAAAGCGAGGACTTAGAGGACGAAAGTGAGAGTGACCAGAGCCAAGAACACACCAATCTTACCACCGAGAAAGCACTAATGGCAAACGAGGAGCGTACGTTGAGGCAACTTGCTAATGCCGTACTACCGCAACAACCACTTTGCATAACTTTCCCGGAGATGAACGATACTACCTTCAAGTTGAAGTCTGGGCTGATTCACTTGCTGCCCTCATTCCATGGTCTCGCGGGAGAGGACCCACACAAACATCTGAAGGAGTTTCACACGGTGTGCTCCAGTATGAAACCCACCGGGGTTACCGAAGAGCAAGTCAAGCTACGCGCTTTTCCATTTTCTCTCAAGGATGTTGCAAAGGACTGGCTTTATTACTTGCCTTCGGGATCGATCACTACATGGGCAGAGTTAGAGAGGACCTTTCTCCAAAGGTATTTTCCAGCGATACGAGTCGCCGCTCTT